TTTGTTTGTTGGCTTTCCCTATTTGTTTCTGTTGTTTTTCGCTGTTCCAAAAAGCCAAACAGAAGTCGAGGTGTGTTTTCTTGGTGAGTGTCAGCCAAACAACAACCGCAACACCTTGTGTGCTGTCGTGTGTTGCTGAAAAAAAGCCACAACTAGAGCTTGTTGCGTGTTTGTTTGTTTTTTTCTCAGTGCCAGACGGAAATAAAACAACGGATAAAGGCAAACAGCCAAAACAATGAGGGAAGACTAAACAACACCTCGAGAAAACCAACAAAACAGGACTTTTGTCAAAACCAAGATCTCCTCTGAGTTTTGTGTTTTGTTTTCGGTGTGTGTCGGTTTCATGATCCTGGAACCACAGTAAAGGAGTGAAGCAACAAGCAAACAAAACTCAGACTAGAAGTATTCGTTTTGCCAAACGGTTTTGGTTGTGTTGCGTGGTCTCAAGTGGCTTGCGTTGTTTTGTTTTCCCTCAGTGTTGTTTTTTTTGTTTCGTTTTATCCCTCCAAACAGCCAAACAAAAGATGAGTTCAGTTGTGGTTTTCTGCTGAAATCAAAACACGAGCCGCAAAAACTACGTAGCGTTTGTCCGTGAGTGCCTGAAGGTAGGAAAGCAAAAAGTCTCGTTCGAGTTGTTGCTTGTCCTTGTGGAGTTGAGAAAGCAAACAAACAAAACATATGAGGGAAAACCAAACAACACACAAAACTCGAAAACGCCGAAAAGACAACTGTTGGGAAAACCATAACATCTCATTGTTTTGTTTTGTTTGTTTGTTGTTGGCTTTCTTGAGGTTTGTTTTGTTTTGTGGTTGTCTAACTTGTTTGTAGGTTTTGAAGTGCATCACCCAAAAAGAGAACCAACGATCGATGGCTTTGATAAAGCAATAAGTTGCCTTTGATAAGGGCGGAATCAATTTTAGATGTACGCTCCTTACAAAGCTGCTTGCAAAGCTCTTTTGGAAGCCAACTTGTAAAGCTGCTTATAAGGATTTTTGTAATGCTCCTTACAAAGCTCTTAAACAGCTCAGTAGAAAGAAAAAAAGACTCCTAGTAAAGCTCCTTCTGGGCTCCTCTCAGGCTCCTGGTACAACTCCTTTGCCAATTAGCTTATAATGCTCCATTTCCGGCTCATCACAAAGCTCCCCATACGGCCCCTTGAACAGCGGCTTCTAAGAAGGGGAGCCACGGCGCCTTGAAAAAGCGCGTCTGCGGCTTCTGGTAAAGCTTGTTTTCAAGCCACGTATCAAGCTCCTAAGGCTCCTGCCAAATTGGATTCTAGCTCTCTCTGAATCAGAGTGAATTTCTGAAATCTAAACTTCTATGTTGAGTGAAATTGCAGGAGGCTCCTTTCCACATGTGAAATGAACATTGACTGATAGAAAATGCAGAGTTTAATGAGGAAAGAGTTCCATTAGACTTCTATCTTAGATAAAGCATCCATTCTACGAAAAGAACTTAACAAGGGAATAATTCACATGTAATTACCATGTAAATTTAAAGAATAAAGCATGGATCCGGTTAATACACAATTAGTTGAATCGTAATGGAATTGAAGAAGGAACTAAGTGCATGTGAATGTCTATTGTATGTTAGAATTCGCGTTTACATGCCTTTCCAAATAGGACGTCAACTCAAGTTAGTTGCAATGGACCTGGAAATTGAACGTCTGTCTCGATTCAGAATTTCAGTAAGAATCCCTTTCCAAACAGGATCTTAGTCAAATCTAAGTTTGATTTAATTGGATTTTGATAAGTCCCAGCATGGGCACTTTTCACTCTTTGCGGACCGGCGAAACAGAGACCATCCCCGACCACAGGGTGACTTTTCCCGACCGTGTTTCGAGGCAAAATTGAAGCCAGACTTGGAAGATTCAGGTATAGGTATACGTATACGTGCTATATATATATATGTATATATTAGCACGCAATTGTTCACTTTGGGGGTGAAGATGTTGAGGGGGTGGTTTTGGTTTAAGGGGGTTCTATTGAACTCGAACTTTGGTTAATTTTCAGGCGGTGTAGACCCAGGCTTCGCTTTCGCCAAAGCCCTGTCGCCCTTCTTGAAAACCCAAAAGGGGCATGTGAGCTGTCTATGTTTGTTAATGGCTTCGAAGATCACCTCTACTTCGTGGTTCCCAGCAATCTGTTAGGTTTTTAGGTTTTAAGGTCTAGTGATAGTTTCCATTAAACCACCAAAAGTTAAACTTTTTTTAGGGAAAGTGAGAAGAGCCAGTTTAGGAAGCTTAGTATTAATTGAGTGTCTTTTTGGTAAGTTGAGGTTTAAGGTTGGATATGCGAGGGGCTGGTGCCAAAAAACAATTCAGGGCTGAGCACGTGATCGGGAAATGGATGGCATTTTACAGGGGAAGCTTGGTTTAGGACCCTGCAACTTGCTAGTTGTTAGCGCAAAAGGGGATTAAATGACCCTTCAACCAGAGGGAATCCTTGCAGGGAGTTGTGGGGCAATCCCAGATTGCTTGCTGAAAGCAACAAGGCACACCAACCAGCCGCCCTCCCCTCCACTCCACTCATTCGGCAGTGTTCCACAATTCAGGACGCCTCTTCAAATTTCTTGTGGCAAAAACGAGGCCCGCCGTTATTGGGGACGTCCAATTCGTTCAGTGCCAAAAACGCAGCCCACCAGTTGGACGTCAAATTCCTGAGCCCGCCAATTTTGGGACGTCCCCGTGTTCGCCCGCTTTGTGGAGCGCAGCTTTTTCCGCAAGCTTTGGCCGCTTCGGCAGGCCTTCTCCGAGAAGGGGCGCAGGGTCAAAGCCCTGCAGGGGCCCTGCGGCGCTTCACCAACCACGGGTAAAAAGGACGCCTAGACTCGGAGTTGGGTGTGGATGGTTGAAATCGAAATCACAACGTGTCTTGGTATTTACGTTTGGGAATCGAAACATTCCAGGGTTTCTGAAAGGTTTGAGTTTGGGGTACACTTCAGACCACACTGAGACTTGGGGGAACAAGGCCTGTAGCCTCTTAGACTGCAGTCTTACATACTTCAGTCTGTAGGTATAGTATGCCTATACTCAGCATAGGTTTTGGCCGGGAAATATTCTTCCCCCCACGTCTACTTATACCTATACTCCAGTCTATTCAATGCTGAAAAAGCCTTGAAACCAGACCGTGTTAAAACCAGGGGCACTTTCTGGGAGCTGGATGTGGGAGTCGCCCACCGGAAAATCGGAATGCCCATTTAGGAAGCTTTCACTTGGAGGAGTGTTTTTCTTCCGGGTAGGAGTAGAAGTGGCAACTCACCCCTAATTCATTCTCACATTCTCAGAGCGGAAGTGCATACCCCTTGTTCGCACGGCTTGGTTTTGCCAAGCTTGAGCTCTATGCCCAAAGGGGAGGGTGTTCAAGCGCACCCTTGCGAGTCCGGAGCACAGATGTGATGTCCGAGCCAAAGCGCTTCGAACAGCAAAAAAAAACAGGCGGGAGCTCCAATGGCGATGAATCGGAAGCTAGCTATCCTTGGCGCTGCTTCTGAAGGTATCAAAGCCATGAGGCCCATGCAATGTGGAAATAAAGAGGTTGGCCTGAACATTCTTTACTGCAATAGTGCTATATACATACGTTGCGCATGACAACCGTCATAGTGATCTATGCTGTATATGTGATGCATATTACTACATGGACACCGTTTGGCGAAAGGGATTTTATGCCATACATGGAACTTCCCAAGGATTGTGGCAAATTGATCAATGGGTGCGGTGGAAATCATGCAAAACAAGTCGCATCCCGTCCGCAGATTTGGGTTTCATGTTGAGCACCGCTTCACTGGCTGAAAGTTAAGCAACTGGAGCTGCCTAAACGATGCAGCCCTTCTGGCATCCTATTGAACTCGACTTGACACAATGGTACTAGAATCTTGGGTGATGCTCGCAAGTGTCTCTGGCGAACTCCGGAACCACAAGCAACAGGACGCTGATTATGTATTAGGTCACATGGTCGCCAGCAACCGGTGCTTTGCAATATGCCTTCGAGCTTGACCCTTCGGCGATTGCAGGGTTGGTCGGTTGGTCAACACTGGCAAGATGTTTTTTTTCTGAAACTCAAAGCTTTCCCACCTAGACCTAGCCTTCCAGGCAGAAACTATTCAGCGTTGGGCTGACGAAATGTCATTGATCCACTTGTGTTCTCCTTCTTTGGGGGTCGCCTGCGAAATCGTTTGACCCAAGCGCCAAGCTTGCAAGACTCTTTGACGTGTGAGGTCAACGATGATCGAAGAGGCGGCTTGGGGCAAGAACCACGGCCGGGCTCGCCTTCCTGTGAGCCTTCTGACTGGATATGTTTGGTGTTTCCGCTTTAAAAAAGGGATGGCCGATCGCATTGAGGGTTGCCAATTGCATGGGGCCTCAATTATATATTTATCAAAAAAGGTGTGAAACCGGGTTAGCTATGTAGTATGGGAAACCGTCCATTCGATTTTTTGGCTTAAGGAAAACCAAATTCAACACCGAAGTCCAGTGTGAGGTTGTCTCCCTGTTTGTCACATACCCTCATCCAGCTCACCTCCACAATGCCACGGACCATTGTGTGCCTCTTGACCCGGGTCACTCTCAACTGCTGGATCTTGCACGTGCAGCTAGGTCCCCCAGTGCCCTTTCTCACACCCCTTTTTGGGGGAGGGTTCCCCTGCTAAAATCGACAAAACCGGAAAAAAAAAAAAAAAAAAAAAAAAAAACGTTGGTACCAACTTTTTCTAACCTCTCAAATCTGGAGGACCTAGGCAGCAGTTGCCCTGCACATTTCGTACGCAGACATTGGCACCGGGGGAAGTGTTCAGTGAGCAAGCGTGAGCAAGCCCCACGCCCGGTGCCATCCCGCTCCCTTCTTTTTGAATTCACAGCTTTCGAATGAACGAAATTCTCGGGGCCTTTAGTTTTTGGATGCACGGCTAGAGCCCCCGGAGCAAGGCTTCCAGGCCGAGGCATCCTTGTTTTCGGCCGTCAGGGCCGTCAAGGGAGCTCTCGGCCCAGAACGGGAATTCTCAACATGGCCGATGCACCAAGGAAATCCACCGGCGCCTTCTGGCAAAAGTCGCGCAGTCGCGCAATGTTCTTGGGGTTCCAAGTCTTGTTTTGCGGCAGAATTTCAACACGTGGGACTTTGGGCGAGCTTTGCGAGAAAAACAAAAACGACAACCCCAAAAACGCACCGTGACACGTAGAGTTCCTGGCTCTTCCCTGGACAAAGACTACAATGAGGTTTGAAGGGAAGCCGAAAGGAAAGACGCCTTGTTGGGGGTACCCGTATTTTGACCTATGTCCTTTGTGGGGGGCTGCATGTTTGGAACCACCCTGGTATCCTTGGTCCACATCCCGAAAGGTTGTTTTAAAAGGGACGCCAAAAGGAAAGCCACATGTTGAAATGTTCCCAAAAGACCCCTTTACTCAGTGTCCGAAAACCTGTTTACCCTTGCTGGTTCTCAGGGAATGAGCGAATGCCCCCCCCACACCTTGGTCATTTCCTTCCAGGGGACCCCCCCCAAAAGAAAAGAAACAAACCAAATAGCAACATAATAACTAAGAATAAACATATGAATAAATAAGTGAATACACAAAAAGTATTTGTGCAGTCGCTCATTTAAAATAATAAAATGTATCTTTCCTCTCGGTCGCTTCCTTCATTTCAACACCGAAAAACCGAGATGACCCCCATATCTTGCCAGGCCGAGCTGCAGATCAAGCACCGAGAGCAGACCTGCCAGCAGATCCAGGCCGGCTGAGGGCTGAGGCCGTCAGGAACGCGCGCAGCTGCGCCTGCCGTGGTCTGGCATTGGGCTGAAGTGAAGTGAAGTCATTGGGCTGGTGTCTTGGGGACCCCCCCCCATCATAGTGCCTAGGTAGCCAAGTTGCGGTCGCTTTTTTTCAGTCACTGTTGCGATCGGTTTTTTGGGGGCAAAGTGCATGGGGAAAAAAAAACAGCGCAACTGGACCGCCCCAGGTGGCTTGTTTCTTTTGATCCAGGCCCCTTCGGTCTTTAAGCTGTGGTTGTTTTTCCAAATTGTCCATTTCAGATGCAGCACGTGTTTTGCAGAAGACCCTCCTGCAGCTTGCATTTCAGCTCCTATAGCTGATTTTGGCGAGCTGGAGAGGTGGCCGAAAGAAGGAGCCACTCAGAGTTCTGCAACGAACACTCCGTGTGTGAAGACTTGTCCAATAGCAACATGCGCGTGGCGAGTCTTTGTGGTGTGGACTTGGGATACACTTCACATTCTGTGACTTAAATGAGGTGTGTGTGTGTGTGTGTGTGTGTTTGCGAGTTGTGTGTTGAAAGGAAAGCCGCCCCTATGTCGACACAGCCAAGTGGGTGGGGGCCCCCAAACACCCCCAAAAGCAGAGCAGAGCGACTCGAGGTGACTCGAGGTAAGATCGATATATGTTTTACATGTTGGCATGCCATTTACGTTTGAGGTTGCAGGTGTTGGTTGCTGGTGAAAAAAGGTGTTGCGAAGCCAGCAGGAATGAAAATGATCAATTGTCCAAAACCCCGATGCACAAATGAATGCTCAGAAGACACCACAACTTGGGCCGTTCATGCTTAGTCTACGGCCATATGATTTGCACCTTCTAATACGTTGCTTTGTTCGTATGTCGTGCGTACATGCTATTGATATACTATGTATGATGGGAAGTGGACATGTGTCAACGATCCCGATGGAAATACTCAAGCAGCACGTAACGCTTGGAACATAGCGTCAACCTAATTGTGTTTGTTCCTTCATTGGGAAGTTAACACTTGGAATCATAAAGGATTATGAGTATTTCATCAGATTTAGCTCTTGAATCTTCGGTACATAAGTATCAATCCTTTGCACGTATCAATAATTGGGAACCCGCTTCGTGGACAACATTGCCTCACATGACGTTCTCACGATATTCCTCGAATAATGCCTGACTTGTTTGGATGAGGAGTTGTACAGATGTGGCTGGTCCTATGTTTTGAGAAGTCTCCAGACGTGTGTTGTCCTAGAGGCAATGGCTCACCATCTGACATTGACAGTTCCTCGTGATATGCCCTTGGCATTTTCTTAAGTCCAATCGCTTTGGACTAACAGCCCGAACCTATATTTCCGTGCCCTCTTTTTCGTTGGTATATTGGGTGACAAAGGGCGGCAAGGCGCAGGTGTTCTGCACAAATGCTCGCAAGATCATTCTCTTGGCTCGCTCCCGACCCCACGAAGCTTCCCGTTGCGGGCTTGCCTCATTGTCCAGTTTGTCTGTGCTGATTTGGGTTTGTCTCAAATCAGGGGGACCCCAAACTGTATCCTTTTTACCACCCAAAAAGTGTGTACCTTCCAAAAAAGACCAATTGGGCACACTGCACCATCCAACTGCTGGCAGGTCCTTCCATTTTAGATTTTAGATCTCTGATCCGAGGCACCCCTGGCTCCTTTCTCAAAAAAGAAGAAAGGCGCGCCCCAAATACCCTACCCAGACTTGCAGCAACATCCGTCCATGGCTCACTTCCTGAGAACTTTTTGGGCAAACCGTGTTCAGTTTGGTTACTTTTTTTGGGGCCATCCACCCGCAAAGTGAGCTGGGGGGTCAATTACTCACTGAGCTGGGGTTAATTACTCACCGAAAAAGGCTGTGACCCAGGATTTAAGTTGAGAGGCCACGGTGTCTCAGAACAAGTTGGAGCTCGCACACCTGGAGCTCGACTTGGAGTGGCGCGGTCCTCGAGTCGGAAAAAACCAAAACCCGGAAAATGGCCGCGCCGAGCTCGTCCAGTGACACCCGGACTGGTTTCTGAAATTGGTTTCCTTTCAATCCGAGGTGAAAGGGGCGCCCTCAACAAACCGCCGCGCGATGTTTCGGGGTTTTTCAAGGGCTGCAATTGCGCTGGCTGTCCGGCAAGGGAAAAGGCCACCGTGCCCCGACGAGGCTTGAAGCGACGGTATGAACGCGAAAGAGACTGACACGCTCGCAGACATAGACGCCAAAAGCGCCCACCGACACCCACCGGATCTACACGCATCCGCATTCCAAGAGAGTTTTGCAGCATCCGCTCAACAGCATCCGCCAGCCATAGCACGCGGCCATTTTGCAAAAGGTATGCACAATGCGACACGCCAAACCACGCGTAGAGCGGGTCACCCTGGAAGTGCACGCGAACCTGCGCGTTCAGCACCGACGGATCACTTGGGTCATGAGATTAAATTCCTGGTCTGTGAGCAGCTGTGTCGATCTGTGTTTCCTGTGTGTTGGCGTGGAGCTCGCTGTGGCCGACCCTAGGACAACCTCCATGAGAAAACGGTTGTTGCAGCGGGCCGGTATGCTGATGATGTATGCAGGCGGCTCGTGAGGGGTCAGTTTTTCGGCGGGTTTGGTTATTCTACTTGCTCTATCGCGATTCATGATGGCTATCCACATTGATTCGACACCGATATAGTCAACCCTCTTGCAAAGAGTCATTAGATGATCATAGATGACACGTGGGTTTCGGCAACCGTGCAACGGGAGCCCTTAATAAACCCGTCCTTTAAGAAGAAGAGGTGTCATGAATCATTCCACTTCCAGAGGATCCCCCCGCCTCCCCCCTGCTATGGATGGGCATGAACCAGTTGGGATGGATGAAACCCTATGAATATTCCTGGAATAAACCAACCAGTGCAAGATTTCGCCTCCATGAGTATATATATATATGTATAGGAACTCCTATTGCCCGGGTTTCTTCGTCCGGCGGATTCGGGGTTCAGGTTCGCCATGGGTTTTTCTGAGGCACCAGTCCGCTCTGCAGGGCGCAGAGGAGAGGCGCAAGGAGCTTCAGAACTCCCAAAGGCGCCGACTTGGACTTGAGGGGTGGGGTTCGAAGATTTTTTTACGTGGGTTGGCTAGGTCCCACAGCTAGGTGCCTTTTTTCACCCTTTTTTGGAGGGGAGGGTTCCCCTGCTAAAATAGACGACCGAAAAAAATATCGGGCACCCGTATTCTAACCTCTCTACTGGAGGACCTAGGGTACGTTGGTTGGGTTGGGTCAATTGGGTTGGGTATGGTTGGGTGTGTTTGGGTGCGGTTGGGTTTGGTTGGGTGCGGTTGGGTTTGGTTGGGTGAGGATCCCCTTACTTGCTTGGAAGGTGGATCAACCTCAAAACTGCGCGTACATGATGCCTCGTCAAGACTCACACCCATCTCAGCATGGGTCCTGTTGATCAACAGGCACTTTCACACCCAATGAAGGTGGGTGGGCATCCACCCAATGTAAGGGGTGTCTTTATCATGGTTTCCCGACGAAAAACGATCAGAGGGGCCGAGTGAAATGGAGTCCGGTTGGTGTATCGCCGTTTTTACGGCACCGAATTCATTCGGAGACTGGAAGTCCTTGAACCACCCCCCCTATAAAATTAAACAGGGGTTGTTTCTTCAGCAGCAACCTCCAACAGTGGTCTGATTCCCCACATTTCACCCAGGGACCCCCCCAATACCCCCCCGAAAATTCGTACACCGGGGTCTGATTCCCAGAAAAGCAAACCGCAGGGTTGATCTATGACCTGTGGTTCTGGAGCGCCTTCGCCAGGAAGCTGCTGGGCACCTTGCACGGGAAGATGTACGAGCAGGGGCCCCAGGCGAAACGGACTAGGGCTAGGTCCCCCAGCAGCCCTGGGCCGGGTAGATTGTCTGCCTAGGTGCCCTTTCTCTCCCCTCTGTCGGTTGGTGGGTTCCCCTACTAACATAGACTACAGAAAGAACAGGAAGAAAAATGCTTATTCTAACCTCTCTACTGAAAGGGTACCCGTATTCTAACCTCTCTTTTGGAGGACCTAGGGCAACCCAGCGGAACCCCACCGAGGACTCCGAGCGCGCGATGGTTTCCGCCGAAGCGGGGGCAAAACCCAGCGAAGGCTTCCATGAAGGCGCTTTGCCGGTTTTTTGGATTCGGTTTGATAGAGTTGGAGGTGTTATTAGTTTTATAGATTAGGTTTTTGGAGTTTTGAGACCGAATTTGAGGGTTGCCCAAAGGATACTCCCCCAGCTTCGTCCACAAACGAGGGTTTTGGGATTCTATGTCCGATCGCAGGGGAGCAACCTTGTATTTCCAGTTCCGTTGGGCAAGTGCGCACCACTTCTGGAAAGTCAAGAGACGACATTTTTCTGGAAAGGAGTAGGTAATTGGGGGTTGTCTCCCCGCCAAAATCAGGTTACACATCTGGTTGGTTTGGCCTTGATCCAAGACATATGCAACCACTGCCAGAGAGTTAGACAAACTCAGTTGCCCACATCGAGTCGACCGGATCTGACCTGTAGGCAACAATCCCCCCCCTTCATCCCTTGCACCGGAGGGTCGACATCGCCTGAGGATCTCAGATGTGACCGGCTCGCCGAGTGCGTTGCTGGCCTCAGGGTGAGTTGGAATCCCTTCCGTTCTCCGACACCTCTGGGGTTTCCAGCGGGAATAAGACACATGGCCATGGGTCAAATTCCCGGTTAGCCCCCAGTGAACATCAACCAATCCAACCACTAAAATAGGTTCTAAAATGGGTGGTGAATTCACCTACCAACCAAAATGGGATCCCATTGGTTTTGACAACCACAGCCACATCTGGGTTGCCCTTTGTTTTGCGGCTAGGAGTGTGGAGATTATTCCTTTAAACCCCCTGCGGCTGGGGATGGAACCAAGCATTTCGGTGTGTGTTGTTGAGACCTTAGTGTCAGGCAGAAGGAGATCCACAAGGCAGGCACACATTCTTTGCCCCCCCCAATTCTGTCACATATATACTAGGTCCCCCAGTAGTGCCCTTTGACCCTTTCTTGGGGGAGGGTTCCCCTACTAAAATAGACTACAGAAAAAAAACGGGTACCAACTTATTCTAACCTCTCTACGGGAGGACCTAGTATATATATATATATATGTCAAGGGAGGTCCCTTTCTAGGGACATGCTAACGTCCTTGTTGCCCAAGTCGATATTGTGTTTCCAAGGGCAGGACGTGACGGAGATTTCTGGAATGGCAGGTTGAGCTAAGTTCCATTCCATGGAGAAGTGCCCCTTGCGTCTTTGAAGAAAGACCGAATCTCAGGAAACCCTGAGTTGGTGGATTGGATTGGTTTGGATTTGGATCAAAACCCCTGGTTCTTGAGGAAAACTGGTGTCACCACCAGAGAGGTTGGGTGTGGTTGGGTGCTTCCCCCACTAAAATTGACTAGAGAAAAACGAAAAGGACAAAAAAGCTTATTCTAACCTCTCTACTGAAAGGGTACCCTCATTCTAACCTCTCTACTGGAGGACCTAGGTGATGGTTGCCTGCAAGCGAGCGAGACATTCTTCCCCGAGGCCCTCGGCGACAATGTATCCCTCTTCCCCAGGCGAGGTGTTGGGCGGTTTGTGGTAGCGAGCTTCTTCATTATTATTATATTATTATTTTAAACAAAATTGGGGGGGGGGGGGGTGTGGGAGGGAGAGTTGGACTTTTCGGAGTTCTTCTTCTTCTTTTGGGGCGGAGGGCGGCGGATTTCCGCGGATTTCGGGGAGTTCGGTTTGGGTTAGGGTCGGGGCTTGGGGCTTGGGGTCGGTTTTCCTTTGATCTCAGGTGCAACCCAGTCCGGTGTGTCACCTAGGTGTGCATTTTCAGGGGTCGTTTGGGGAACATCAGTGCCCTTTTACCCTTTTCTTGGGGGAGGGTTCCCCTACTAGCATGAAAAAAATGGGTACCAACTTATTCCAATCTCTCTACTGGAGGACCTAGTGAATGTCGGGTGATGTAGACTTTTTTTGATGTCGCAGAAGCTTCCATTCCAGGAGTTCGTATCGGTGCAATGAATGGCTTTCTAAAGCGGGCTGCTAAATTTATCGAGTCATCACGTCGATGAACTCGGTGAACATCCGATGGCATGGTGTTATTGTTGAAACACCTCTAGCTAGCTGACGTCACAGCGCCAGTTCGCTATGCAGATGATGGAGAACAAGTTTGCCCTCATTGTTCTAGGGGAAGCTTCCCCATTCTTTCCATCAAAAACCCAGAGAAAAATGTGAGTGTGCGTGTGTTGCGTTGTGTTGTGTTGTGTTGTGTTGTGTTGTGTTGTGTTGTGTGGTGTTGTGGTGTGCTGTGCTGTGCTGTGTTGTGTTGTGTTGTGTTGTGTTGTGCTGTTTTGGTGTGTTGGTGTGGTGGCGTGTGTGTGTGTGTGTGTGACTGCTCTTGCTGTTCTTTTTCCTCGCTGTTCTCACTGTCCTCGCTGTTTTGGCTGCTCTTGCTGTCTTTTCTCCTCGCTGTTGCCGCTGTCCTCGCTTGTTTGGCTGCTCTTGCTGTTCCCGCTGTTGTGGCCGCTCTTGCTGTCCTTTTTTCTCGCTGTTCTCGCTGTCCTGGCTCTTCTGCCTGTGTGTGTGTGTTTGCGTGTTTGCGTGTTTGCGCGTTTGCCTGCGTGCGTGCGTGTGCGCGTGCGTGCGTGCGTGCGTGCGTGCGTGCGTGCAGGGGTGTGGGTGTGTGTGTGTGTGTTTCTGTGTGTGTGTGTGTTTCTCTGTTTGTGTGTGTGTGTGTTTGCGTGTGTGGTTGCGTGTATGTGTGTGTTTGCGTGTGTGGTTGCGTGTATGTGTGTGTGTGTGTGTTTCTGTGTTTCTGTGTTTTGTGTGTGTGTGTTTGCGTGTTTGCGTTTGCGCGTTTGCGTTTGCGTGTTTGTGTGTGTGTGTGTTTTTGTAGGTGTGTGTCTGTGTGTGTTTTTGTGTGTGTGTGATTTTGTGTGTGTGGTGTGTGGTGTGTGGTGTGTGTGTGGTGTGTGTGTGTGGTGTGTGTGTGTGTGTGTGGTGTGTGTGTGTGTCTCTGTATGTATGTATGTATGTATGTATGTATGTATGTATGTATGTATGTATGTATGTATGTATGTATGTGTGTATGTATGTATGTGTGTATGTATGTATGTAGGTAGGTAGGTAGGTAGGTATGTATGTATGTTCTAACGTAATGTAATGTAATGTAATGTAATGGAATGTATGTTATGTATGTAATGTATGTATGTAATGTAATGTAATGTAGTGTAATGTAATGTAATTTAATGTAATGTAATGTAATGTAATGATGAACTGTAATGTATGTATGTATGTATGTAATATAATGTAATGTAATGTAATGTAATGTAATGTAATGTAAGTATGTAATGTAATGTATGTATGTATGTATGTATGTATGTATGTATGTATGTATGTATGTATGTATGTATGTATGTATGTATGTATGTATGTATGTATGTATGTAATGTATGTATGTATGTATGTATGTATGTATGTATGTATGTATGTAATGTATGTATGTATGTATGTATGTATGTATGTATGTATGTCGGTATGTATGTATGTATGTATGTATGTATGTATGTATGTATGTAATGTATGTATGTATGTATGTATGTATGTATGTATGTATGTATGTATGTATGTATGTATGTATGTATG